AATAATCTTATAATATGTTTGGAAAGCGTTTATAAACTATAAATTATAAATAGTTAAAAAATGAGTTATGGATAAGTGCGTAATACTTGTTGATCTTTATAAATATGTGGATTGAGCGTTTAGCCGTTTAAAAATAGTCTACAAAAATGAGCCAAACATAGGCTTAGGTCCATCAGCTCAGACAAGTATGTTGTTATTGAGCTTATGTCGCCCTAAGTTACCTAGGTTAGTTATCGAGTTAGACCGCCTCATCCCATGCCATTGAATGCAAAGCCAGAAAATTGCGATGGCAATATAGGCACTGACATGAAACTGGAAGAAGAAAATGAAAGTGACTGGTGGGAGTGCCTGAGCTTCTAGAGATCGACAATGGTGTGAGGAAACTGAGGAAAAATGGAAATGGCAATCTTGAAACAAAGTTACTTTTTTTTTTTAATTATTAGTTGAGGATTATTTTGAAAAATATCAGTGATCTTTTTAACAAAAACGAGCTTTAATTGTTGCGTATTTAAAATGTGGTGCAGTAAAAATATTATGGTAGCAATATAATCACCAATAATAATACAAAAACCAGCTAAAATGTAAGTGCCTAGACCAATTTGGCTTCGGGCTAGCACCTTTTGACCCGGTGTCCCATTGTCGGCCGGCTTAACTTCTGAGATGGGCGTACACAGCCCATCTACGACATGGGTTGTACTAGGTCCGTGCATGAGCTGTGCTGCCCCCAAGACGGCCTTTTCACACCTCTAAGTGGATGAGAATATAAGGGCCCCGTTTAATTTATGTTTCAATTTTCAATTGGGATACTTACAAAAATACCCTTAAAATTACGAAAAATGCTATCCATCCCAGTAGGGATGCATCCCCAATCTATATGGATGTAAATGATTGGTTAAATGATATGTGAAATTAAATGACATATTTAATTTCACATATCATTTAATGCCACATTAATGCCACATAGACTGGGGATGCATCCTCAGTGGGGATGAATAGCATTTTTCTAAAATTAGGGATGTTTTGAAAAATCATATAAAATGTTTTTAGAAAGTAAAAAATACTGTGTAAAATAAAAAAGTGACACAATGTCACTTTTTTTTTTATAAAAAGTGACAATTCAAAAAAATGACACGGACTAAAAAAGTGATACAAACTCAAAAAAATGACAA